CGACGAGATCGCGGCCCGATTCTGTCCTATAAAATGATTATATCTCGCCCTAAATCCCTATCAAAGTTGTATTCCTACATGCATAGATGAATTTTGGTTTTTGAATTTCTCGATTTCAATATCATAAGCTCAAGCTCTGCACGTTTGAATCTCTGACGTGAAAAATAGAGAATTCTGCCGTGAGCAGCATTCTGACCCAATTTTTGCACCGAAAAAATTCTATTGTCGTCACGATTTTTCTGGTTCATTCTTAGGGTACTCCCAGTCATATCAGGATGCTCGACATTTGTCAGTTTTTTTGAATTAGATCAGGAGACCCTTTTTGATCGACGAGATCGCGGCCCAATTCTATCCTATAAAATGATTATATCTCACCTTAAATCCCTGTCAAAATTGTAATCCTACACGCATAGATGAATTTTGGTTTTTTAATTTCTCGATTTCAATATCAAAAGCTCAAGCTCTGCACGTTTGAATCTCTGATGTGAAAATAGAGGATTCTGTCACAAGCAGGATTTTGACCCAAGTTTGCAGGACCGATTCGAAGGATTTTTTCGGGACCCAGGACTGAATCGAAAAGTGTTAAAATGAGGGATTTAATTAAAGAAGGATATGGAAAGCTGGAGAGGGGGCGTGGATCATCATAAATGAAAGGATTTTTACCACACCGATTAAGGAAAATAAGACTTTGCAGCTGCACCCTGCATCTGATTGCTTTCCCTTTTTCTCTGCTGTTTTTCTTTCTCATCGCCTCTGATTATTAGAGCTAAAGACCATGTTTTTGTTGCCTCATTTCAAAGGGAGCAGCTGGCCCTATGGAAGGAAAGAAAATAGCCACACCATCCTCCAAAACTGGAAAGAAATCAGACGTAAAACACCACCACAAAATCAGAATATTGCAGTTTCCTTTTGCGTTTTTTTTACTGCAAATTAGTAGGGATTTGCGTCCTAGGATTAATGCATTGAATCCTTCCTAAATAGATATAGGTTAGACTATATATAAGCCCCTCTAATGACCTAGGGCGAAAAAAAAAACAAAGGGAGAGGAGGATAAAAAAAAAGAGGGGAAAAGCGGCAGAGGGAGAGCAGAAAAAAGTTGAAAAGAACGTAGAAAGAAGGAGCACAAATAGAGAGAAAAACAAAAGAAACAGCCGAAGACGTGCAGATAAAACGCAGAGAACATGAGTTTCTGTTCGTTGCTGTGAAAAGTGAAAAAAGGAAAAAGAAAGCAGAACAGAGAAGGAGGGAAAGA